AGAGAAAGAGAGGAGAGAAGAGGAGAGAAAGAGAAGAGGAGAGAGAAGAGGCGACAGAGGAGAAGGAGAAAAGATGATCGACGATAATGGTGGCGGCACCGGTGGATATCGCAAATCTCCTCTTTCAGACTCTGTTTCCTCTCCTTTTTTTTTTTTTTTTTTTTTCTAAGTAGATCTGGATCGGAAAAAAGAAAAAAAAATTGCTAATGATGATAATATGTTGTTGATGATGTGAAGATGCTGTTGTTGATGATGATGATGATGTTGATGAAGAGTTAATGAAGATGTTGTTGTTGATGAAGATGTTCCTCTTTCAGACTCTGTTTTCTCTTCTTTTTTTTTTTTTTCTTTTTTTCTAAGTAGATCTGGATTTGAAAAAAAAAAAATTATTGATGATGATGATGTTGATGAAGATGTTGTTGTTGTTGTTGATGATGATGATGTTGATGAAGTTGTTGTTGATGATGACGATGTGTTGATGAAGATGTTGTTGTCCAGCTCCTCTTTGTGTTCTCCAGCTCCAGCTCCTCTTCTCTCTTCTTTTCTTCTTCTTCACTTTCATGTTCTTCATCTTCGGAAAAAACGAGAAAGAATAAAGAAAAAAAACCAAAACGTTATCGTTTTGAACTCGGACCATTCGGGCCTCATAATTTTCGAGTTACAAAACGGGTTGTATACAAAAACCAATTTCCAACCACCACCAATATACATTCAAAAGCCAAAAAAAAATGATGATTTTAATATAACAGACGCAAACCTCTCTCTTTCTCTCTCTCTTTCTCTCTCTCTACATAATATATATATATATATATATGTACTAGTTTGAAAAGGTATGTACGAGGCACAGGCTATTATTACAGTATGTTTAAGTTTTATATTTTGATAATTTTTTAAAAATTAGAATATATCGTTCTATGAAATTAAATAGAATAAATCATTAGATATATGAAAAATTATGTGGTAGAATATTTATTATATTTTGATTTGTTATACACCTAATGATGTATTCCTTTTGAATTTATAAAAAAAAAATTATGGTGTGTAGGTTTTCTCAACTGATAAATATAAAACAAAAACTAAAATAATACTCTCATTTAAAAAAAAAACTACTAACATAATTCATTGAACTAATAAAGAAAAGAAGAATATATATATATATATAACAAATGACTAATTTTATTAATACAATAATTATATTCGCATAACAAATGATCAATTTTATTTAATAAGTAAATCGTAAGTAAATTAATAATTTTTAATGATATGAAAAATATTTTTCGGTTAACCATTTTGTTAATAAATAAATCATTAAGTCAATTAACTATTTTTAATGATAGGATAATATTTTTCAATAAAAAATTTTGACAATTTATTGTTGTATAGGAGAATAGCTTCTTTTTTCCCCCCCCCCCTTCATATTGTGTTAAATTAAAATTTATAACAAACGATAGTTGTAATTTCTAGTATTATAAAACCGATTCATATTTAAACATAATTAGATGATATTTGCAATTTGTTAAAAAATAAAAGATTTATGTTTTATAATTGACCAAGAATGTTTGCATAATTACAAAAAAAACTTATTTCATAATTGGCCAAGAATATTTGCGTAATTCGAATAAACCTGTTGTATAATTGATCAAGAATATTTGCATAATTACAAAAAAAAACCTTCACTCAACATATAGGCCACCATTAGTAAATTATTTAAAATGAAAGGGCAAAATCGGAAAGAAAAGATGAACCTCAAGCAACTAAGCGGTGTTTAAACGTCCCGTGCAAGGCATGGGCTATTATTACAGTATGTTTAAGTTTTATATTTTGATATTTGTTTAAAATTAGAATATTGTTCTATGAAATTGAATAGAATAAATCATTAGATATATGATAGAATTATGTGGTAGGATATGTATTATTTTTGATTTGTTATACACCTAATGATGTATTCCTTCAGAATTTATAAATAAATAATAAAATTATTGTATGTAGGTTTTCTCAACAGATAAATATAAAACAAATACTAAGATAATTCTCTTATCTGAAAAAAAATTACTATGATAATTCATTGAACAAATAAGAAAATTAAAGAAAATACATATATACAAATGACTAATTTATTATAATAAAATCATACTCGCTTAACAAATGACCAATTTTATTAACAAGTAAATCATTAAGTAAATTAACAATTTTTAATAATATGAAAAGTATTTTTTGGTTAACCATTTGTTAATAAGTAAATCATTAAATCAATTAACGATTTTTAATGATACGAGAAATATTTTACAATAAACAT